CCTTGTTGTTCGTTTGTCTTTCTTTCCCTTTCCTCTCTCTTCGGGTTTTGGTTTTCTTTGTATCTTTTGGAGGATGTCTTATTCCCTTTTGTTGTAATTCTCTCTCTCTCTCTCTCTCTCTCTCTCTCTCTCAATAAAATTTTCTTCTATTATTTAAAAAATGATGTGTTCCTTATGACTGCTTTAATTTGTAGATCAATGACTCATCTGTATGGTTGCTGACATGTATATCGAAATAGTGAGCATTATACTATCCAATTTTGAGATGCATTTCAACAATTGGATTTGATAAGTGAATTATCTTGTAATAACAGGTTGGCAGCAGATTTGGAGAGAGCACCCTGAAATTGGGATCCATATTGACAGATGGACAAGTTGGCATATTCAAGGATAGATCAGCTTCTGCAATGTCGACATTTGGTGATATTTTACCAGCCCAGGCTGCAGGTCTTCTTTCATCCTTCACAGCAACCAGATCGGAATCTTGATTGTTGGTTTTCAGCTCTCGTCCCTATTTTAGATGCATATTACTGCACCGGAAACAAATGTGTGATAACTCCCCTAAAAAAGGCTTAAGATATGATGCAGGAATATGATTCGCTGTCTAACCCAGTTTATACACTATGTAAGTGTTATAAATAAATAAGAATTGGAAATATTAGGCAAAAGAGAACTTGGGGTTGAAGATATTCCCAGAATTGGCAGTAGTTGAAGGAGGAAGTTCAAAAGAATCCATGTTTGTGAAGAGAAGATGCAAGGGGCGTATATGTAACTGAGTATACAGATGTTGCTCTTATTGCGTTGTGGATAGGAAAATGTCTTGGTCCAAAACTCTGCATGGAGAAGGTTCTAGTAGGGTTCTCTCTTGGATGGAGGCAGTTAGGTGAACTGTGATGGGGCAATGAAATGAGGTCTATATATTCATATTTCTTTTTAAATATCAATACATGTGTAAATGGAAAAATGAGTCTGGTATCCATTTATTGAACTATCACTCCGATGATGTCCCCGGTTCATTTTTGCCAGTGGCTGATCCTGAAAGATGGTGATGAGAGCCGGCATTTATACGTTGACTTGTGAACAATTGTTTTTGCTTCCTTATTCTTTTCATAAGGTGAGAGAGCTTTTTGTTCTGAAGAAGCGGAAGGAAAGCAAGGTTAGGTTTACTTACCGATTGCTTTGAATGATTTGGTTTTGCGATTTTATGATGGTGATCCACCTCATTTGACAAAATTTTCTCCTTTTCTGCTGCTTTGTAGCTTCAGTAATTTCCTTATGTAGTTTTAGGTTTGCAACGATGGAAGAGAAGTGCAGAGGAGACCATCTTTGCATTTAGAGATATTCATATGAATTATTTTATCCTTGTACTATTCCATTTTAGTGCATATTATACATCTTATTTGCACTCCCTGAATATCTATAGCTCTCTTAAAGAGTTTGTTGATTAGGGCTATATGCAGGGGACAAAAACAGCTATTTTTTTCAGTCCAATTTTTATATTACTTTTTATTGATAATTAAAACATAATTTGTTGTGTTTGAATTATCAGTGTCTTCATATTGTATTCTGACACTGAAATTTTAATATCTTCTTGAAAGGTTTGAATTTAATTCTCATCATTTTAAGAAATCCGGTGTGGGTTAGCGAAAAGTTAAACACAATAAATTATTCATCAAAAAATTATGTTAAAATTATAATTAGAACTACAATTAATTATAAATTAAATGAGAATTACTATAAATTTGTAACTCGATTTAAACATAGAATTACTTAAATGAATTACTTAAATGAAAAGTAAATCAAATTACAGCAGTTTTTTTAAAAAAATTAGATAAAAATATGAAATATAAAAAATAATTGTTATAAGTATTTAAAATAAAAATGTGAGAAGAGATAACATATTTAAAAAGTAATTTGATCTAGAAGAACATTCTAGGATGAAAATGTAAAAAAAAAGTATAATTTTAAAATAAAAATATAAAAAATAAGTAAAAATAATTGAAATACCAATAAATTAAAAATAAAAAGATAAGTTATTGAACAAATTCATTTTTTTTCTTAGAAGAGAATGGAAATACAGTTGAAAAAAAAATAATCGTATAGTCTCTTAAAATTTGAGACTTTTCGTGAAGTATCATAACTAAATAAATTTGAGTAGTGCAATCTCTTCAAGGCCAATAATATATTTATTATATAATAATTGTCCGCATCAAACAAATGTGACCTTCAATTAAATTTTTGTAAGCAATGAATTAGATGAAACAAATGATGAGTCTAAATACAAGCAGGCAATTATTATTTTTTTCTTCAATATTATTAAATTTATTTTTTGAAAAAATAAAACATCAATAGACTCTAAAAAAATATATCTATAACGGCCCTGAAATTTTAAAATGAAATATGTGTATTAAAAATGTCAAATGCGGAAGCGTAATAAAAATTTTGATTAACATCCCTTACACTAAAACCAAAAACCTACTCAAAGTATAAAAGAACAAATTAACTAAAAGAGAAACTCGAAAATAAAAGCTATAAATATAACTACGGAGTCTTCAGGCGTCCCCTTCGTCGTCTTCATGCGGAACGGGCTCGGGAACAATGTCTTCCTGATCTGAAATGATTAAATAAGGAATGAGGTACACCAGCCCAGTAAAGACATCACACTATCTCACCGTCGCGGAGGTAAAGATGGGTAGAAAATACAAAAAGACCAATGGAGCATAATTTACAACAAATTCTTTTATCAATAATAAAATCCTTTACTATCCACTTATCTCGGTGAAATTTATAAAACAATATACGAAAGCAATAACATTATCATCATCATGAAATCATATGAGCTGTATAACATAATACTTATCACGCCTTTTGCAATTCAATCATTACACAACATATTTTTCCTCATTTACCAGCCTACTAGTATCCATGGGGATCCATAGGGGTCCCGCTACCCGTGAACCCTTAACACTTGTAATCAGATTCCAGAGCCGTCCCCATACCCCGTCCGGTATGCGCGCCAAAACTATAAACCTTAATACCCCGTCCGGTATGAGGGTGAAACGGGCCGTCCCCATACCCCGTTCGGTATGGGCACCAAAACACATAAGGTCTCCATACCCCGTCCGGTATGAGAGACCACAATCCTGGTAGGGTTCCCTACGGATCCGGTCCGTCCACCATCTCCCAGGATATCTAGTTAGGCTGACCATATTATGCAATTATCAATTTACATAACCTTTCATTCCCATTTTCCCCAGTCAGCATCATCAATTCACACACAAATAAGCAAACCAGTAATTTATGCCAAATAAGACAACATACAACATCGGGTTCTCAGTTATTCAATCCATAATCAATAAAACAGTAAAATATACACACGAAACTATGAAATGAAAACATCATACCTCATACTGCATTTAAAACCGTAAAATAGGCCAAACAACAGCTAACCGACAAACACACCAGACTCGGGCTCCATTAGCGACCTTAAACAATTTCACACGTCTGTTGATTCATGAAATACCGTTTTATCATTTATTGAACTTTAATACCGTGATAGGAAATAGGGTGAGGGGTCATTACTTGTTTCAGGGTCCGAATACGGCTCTACAGTGCGCCTGCAGGCTGTCCCTAATTTTCCCTGAATTTTTTCCGAGGAACTGAAACGCACTACTGGTACCTGCACGTGTCCCAAAAAATCCCAAATTAGACCCAGGGCCCCTTTCGGCCAATATTGCAATTCCGGCACGGCGGCTCCGCCGTGCTCCAGCGACGGCGCTGCTGCTTGCGACGGCGATTCGCCTCGGGTTGGCCGTTTTCGGTCGAATTCAGCCACACTTGCATCGGTCCCTACGATAAAATAACCCTAGGGCCCTCGGGGGGCCAAAAAATTACGAAAAACCGAAGCTTACCGGCGGTGGTGCTTTCGGATGCGGCGGCTCTCCGGCGAGGTTCGTGTTTTGGTGATTTGGCTCCGATCAACCTGTAGAGAAAAGAATGGTGATCACGGTGAAATAAAAATTGTATCAAACGGAGGCCGGGAAAGGCCTCATCGAAGGCAAAAACCGAGGAGGGGCGCGGCGGTACCGCTGAGTTTCGGCCGTGTTTTTCGACCGTTTGGCCGGGATTTTGGCTCCAATTTGGCCACAGGGGAACTCAGCATTGAAAAATGAGCCGGGGGAATGAAATTTATCTCGATCAACAGTCGAAAAACTCCCCGGTGCGGCGGCGGGTGGCGGCGGCCGGCTCCTCCGGCGTCTGGTTCGTCTTCTCCGGCGAGGCAGCGGCTAGGGTTTTGTGGTCAGTGTGGGGTTTATTATACCCTTTGCCTTTATCACAGCCGTCATTTGA